TATGAGTTATTTTGTCTCCTTTTAAAACTTTCCCATATTTTACAGATTTTTCTACCACTTGCATGTCTTAAATACATTTTTTAAAGATTGATTTATTTATTTGAAAGTCAAAGTTACACATAGACAGAAGGAGAAGCAGAGAAAGGGAGAGAGAAAGAGAGGTCTTCCATCCGCTGGTTCACTCCCAAATTGGCCACAACAGCCACAATCAGCTGCACTGATCAGAAGCCAAGAGCCAGGAGCTTCTTCCAGGTCTCCCATGCAGGTGCAGGGGCCCAAGAACTTAGGCCATCTTCTACTGTTTTCCCAGGTCATAGAAGGGAGCTAGATCAGAAGTGGAGCAGCCAGGATGAGAACAAGCGCCTATATGGGATGCCAGCACTGCAGGCAATGGCTTTACCCACTATGCCACAGCACTGGCCCCTTAAATACATTTATAATAAGAATAAAATTTTTTGAAAATTTTTCAGCTTCACTGAAGGATGACAAAAAATGCATATATTTAAGCTATGCAACTTGATGTTCATATATATATAGAAAATCACCACCATCCAGCTCATTAACAGGTCCTCCATCACAGTTACCATTAGCTCTTTGTAATTGTGTTTTTAAGATTAAAAAAGATACAAATAAGCCTTAAAATTCAACAGTAATTTTTTTCTCAGACTGACAAGTCATTTGAAGAAATCCACAGAAATAGAAGTTCAATTATTCACTGGCAAAACTTCTGCTTGAGGCAAGAAAAATCAGTGAGCATCTCTTACCCTTAACACACATCCCATTATTTCTATCCCCAGACAGTGTCTGCCAGGTGCTTGGAGGCTGTTGCCACGAACTGGAGCTGTTGTGTGCTACAGCAGTGCTAAAGAGGTCAAGGGTAGACTCTCTCTCTCTCTCTTTCTCTCTCTCTGTGTGTGTGTGTGTGTGTGTGTGTGTGTATTACTGCAGTGCCAAGCTATGCTGCAGCTCCAAGACCTTACACAGTTGCAAAGCAGCCCCCACCTTAATAGCCCACTCACTTGAAATAAATAATTAAAATGATCTCATAGTTTTAGTAGACATAATAGAAAATATTTGTTGGTGATACATAGTACTTGAAAGGATAGAGCAAAAATACCATATGGCATAAGAAAGTATAATCTACTTGGAATTCAGCTGGCAGTAAATTTTCAAGTGCTGGAAGATTATTTAGCCTTCAATCCAGTCGTCTTATCTCTGGGAGTTCATTCAAAAGAAAAAAAATCAAAAAGAAGAGACAGCTGTATATGCCTCAAGATACTCATTCCCAGATTTCAAATAGCATAAAATTAGGAGCAATAACAAGTTCTAAGAAGGGAAGGATTTGTAATAAAACAAGGGCACATTTGAAAGGAAGAAAAGCGAGGCAAAGATATGCTTGTGCTAGTACATTAAAATTCAGAACATAAAAATGTTGTGATTTTATTTTTATTAGGAATGTAATTATATAAAATGTGCAGGAGAAACTATGTTTTTTAGAATGCTAGGCTTGTGGTTATTTTCTCCATTTCCAAGATTTTTTTTCTCATTAAAAATTATGATGAAAATGGCCTCCTGCCAGGTGTGTTAGAGTTGTTGTGTAGAACGTCCAGGGCGCGCCTGGGCAGTCTGGGAGTTAGCTGGCTCCAGCTCACAAGCCTGCTTCCAGCACTTCCAAGCAGTGCGCTCCTGGGCAGTTATTTAACCTCTCAAAGCCTCTGCCTTCCCATCCAGAAATGGATAATCATGAAAGTATTCGAGCTTTGGAAAGAAACTTAATTGTTCACGTCTCCCAGGGGGAACTGGATGGTGAAGTTTCCACCGCAAAACACTGTGAGGAAGCACACTGCAGCCTAGGCTCTGGGAGAGGCCAGAACCAAAAATGCCACCAAAGCTGCAAGTTGGGGGGAATCCTAGTCCACAAAGCAGCACAATAGACCCAGGAATTTCACATCTTCCAGGAAAAGGAGTCGCTCCTATTCCAGTGCGGACCCTTGAGTGCAAAGGGCAACAAATTGGAAAAGGAAAGAAGAATGGGCCTCAGGCAAGACTTAATGCAGCTTCCCTCCCCTCCTCTCCCCTCCTCTCCCCTCTCCTCTCCTCTCCTCCTCTTTTCTCTTTCCCTTCCTTCCTTTCTTCCTTATATAAATTATCTATCTATCTATCTATCTTTCATCATATACTCATCTATCTGTGGATTTTGAACTTTTGGAAGACATGAACCCTATTCTAAAATAGAAAGAGTGGTGTATCCAACCCTCATGCACCTCTTGCCCAGCTCCAGCCAGGTGAATGCTTTGTCTATTACATGCACCCTGGAAATGTAGTTCCAACGTATGTCTAAAAGCTACAGGCTTTTACATGTAATATAGCCATACACAGCTATCGTGCCAAAAAAGTTAGCAGTAGTTCCTTTTTTCCAAGCCTCATTTCTTTCTAAATCACTTAATTTTAGGTATTCTGTTATAACAACAGAAAACAGATAATTCACAAAATTGAATTGGTTCAATTAAGTACATGACATACTTGACTAAATACATTTGACTAAAACGTATTTATTAAGCACAGGGGAGTTATTACAAGTATTTAATCCCTTGCCACCCATGAGGAAGACCCAGATGGAGTTCCTGACTGCTGGTTTTAGCCTGGTCCAGCCATAGCTGTTGCAGTCATTTTGGGAGTGAACCAGTGAATAGAAGCTTTCTCTCTCTTTCTCTCTCTCTCTGTGTGTGTATGTGTGTGTGTGTGTTTCTCTCTCTGTCTCCTACTCTTTCTATGTCATTCTGCCTTTCAAATAAATAAATAAATCTTTTAAAAAGTTTTTTTAGATAAATAAGGGTCAATTTCAACTTTTTTTTTTTACTGGACATACAGCAATTGTACACATGTATGGGGTGTAGTGTGATATTTCCATCTTTGTACACAGTGTTTAAAGGTCACCTCAGAATGACTTCTGTGTCTATCGCCTCAAGCATATATCATTTCTTGGTGTGAGGAATATTCAAAATCTTCTCCAGTAACTCTTCTGGACTTTGCCATTAATTGTTGTCAACTATAGCTATCCTTCTGTGCTAGAGAACCTAGGGGTCACTTCTCCTATCCAACTGTATCCTCATAGCCATTAACCATCCTGTCTCCATTCTTCCCTCCATAGTGCCCAATGTTCTATGCTCTTCTTTGAGATAAACCTCTGAGCTTCCACACACTTGTATAAGTGAGAACACGGGGCATGGCTTATTTCAGTTAACACAATGTCTGCCAGGTTAATTTGTAATGTTACATATTAAAGGATTTCTGGGCCAGTGCTGTGGTGCAGCAGGTTAAAGCCCTGGCTTGAAACGCTGGCATCCCATATGGGCACCAGTTCAAGACCCGCCTGCTCCACTTCCCATGCAGCTCTCTGTTATGGCCTGGGAAAGCAGTAGAAGATGGCCCAAGTCCTTAGGCCCCTGCTCCTGGGTGGGATACCCGGAGGAAGCTCCTGGCTTCGAATCAACACAGCTCGATTGCTGTGTTGCAGCCATCTGGGGAGTAAGCCAGCAGATGGAGGACCTCTCTCTGTCTCTACTTCTACCTTTCTCTGTAACTCTGTCTTTCAAATAAATAAAATAAATATTTAAAATAAAATAAATATAAATAAAATAAACATTTAAAACAAATGAAAGGATTTCCTCCTTTTCAAAGGCTGACTAGCATTCTATTGTGTCTTGATATCACATCTTCTTTATCTAAGTGAACAATTTCAGTGAACAGTTAGATTGATTCCTTATCTTGGCTATAGTGAATGGTACTGCATTAAATACTCAAGTACAGTCTCAATGCTAATTCCTTTGGATATATACATAGTAGTGGGATTGCTGCATCATTTGGTAGTTCCAATTCTAATTTTTTGGAGAAACTTCCATACTACTTTCTATAATGGCTGTACTAATTTACTTTACTAACAACAGCATATGCAAGTTCTCCTTTCTCCACATCCTCGCCAACATTTGGTGGGTTTTTATTTTTTTAAATAAAAAATTGTATTTACTTAGAAGATTCAGAATGTCAACAAAACAGCTGCAACTTTTTTTTTTTTTTTTTGCAATTACAGAGTGGTATTCAGTTAACAGAACAACAATTATTTCGTATTAAGCTGCATCCGAGACAACTGAAGATGAAAAAACTACCATCCCCATATGTAACTAATTTGTGCTGTGCACCAAGAAGAGCCTGCTTTAAATTTCCATGCCAATTTACAACCCCCATACTGTACCAGGCAAGGTTAGTGGCTATTGAAAATACCACCAGGGGCTGGCGCCGCGGCTCACTAGGCTAATCCTCCGCCTAGCGGCGCCGGCACACCGGGTTCTAGTCCCGGCCGGGGCGCCAGATTCTGTCCCGGTTGCCCCTCTTCCAGGCCAGCTCTCTGCTGTGGCCAGGGAGTGCAGTGGAGGATGGCCTAAGTGCTTGGGCCCATGGGAGATCAGGAGAAGCACCTGGCTCCTGCCTTTGGATCAGCGTGGTGCGCCAGCAGCATCGCGCAGGCCGCGGCGGCCATTGGAGGGTAAACCAACAGCAAAAGGAGGACCTCTCTCTCTGTCTCTCTCTCTCACTGTCCACTCTGCCTGTCAAAAAAAATAAAAAGAAATAAATAAAAAGAAAATTCCGGGCCGGCGCCACGGCTCAACAGGCTAATCCTCCGCCTAGCGGCGCCGGCACCCTGGGTTCTAGTCCCGGTCGGGGCGCCGGATTCTGTCCCGGTTGCCCCTCTTCCAGGCCAGCTCTCTGCTGTGGCCAGGGAGGGCAGTGGAGGATGGCCCAAGTGCTTGGACCCTGCACCCCATGGAAGACCAGGAGAAGTACCTGGCTCCTGGCTTCGGATCAGTGCGGTGCACCGGCCGCGGCGGCCATTGGAGGGTGAACCAACAGCAAAGGAAGACCTTTCTCTCTGTCTCTCTCTCTCACTGTCCACTCTGCCTGTCAAAAAATAAAAAATAATAATAATAATAAAAAAATAGTAAGAAAAGAAAATACCACCAGGATAGGGCTATCTAAAGACATATTCGGTAGTGTGTTAACTATACAAAAAATACATTGTACAGTTTAAAAACAAATCTTACACAGCCTTACATTTCAATTTTTTTTCTTTAAACAGAGTGGGTTGTGTACAGGGGGGTTAAATGCTTTATAGACAAGAAAAAAAAACTGCGCTAGAACCAACTTATTCATCATCATCATCTTCATCTTCTTCCTCTTCCTCCTCATCCTCTTCGTCTTCATCTTCCTCCTCTTGCTTCTTTTTCTTGCTCTTTTCAGCCTTGACGACTCCCTTTTTTGCTGCATCAGGTTTTCCTTTAGCTTGGTATGCAGCAATACCCTTCTCGTACTTTACCTTCAACTTGGCAGCCTTCCTCTCGCAGGGCTGTTTGTCACCTGCAGCAGTGTTATTCCACATCTCTCCCAGTTTCTTTGCAACATCACCAATGGACAGGCCAGGATGCTCTCCTTTGATTTTGGGGCAATACTCAGAACAGAACAAGAAAAAGGCCGAAGGAGGCCTCTTGGGCGCATTGGGATCCTTGAACTTCTTTTTTGTCTCCCCTTTAGGAGGGATATAGATTTTCATTTCTCTTTCATAACGAGCCTTGTCTGCCTTTGCCATGTCTTCAAATTTTCCCTTCTTTTTAGCAGACATGGTCTTCCACCTCTCTGAGCACTTCTTAGAAAACTCTGAGAAGTTGACAGAAGCATCTGGGTGCCTCTTCTTATGCTTCTCCGGGCAAGTTTGCACAAAGAATGTGTATGATGACATTTTGCCTCTCGGCTTCTTAGGATCTCCTTTGCCCATGTTTAGTTATTTTTCCTCAGCGAGGCACAGAGTCGCCCAGTGCCCGTCCAGCTCTCACTTGCCCTGGCACTTCTCTATGGAGCTCAATGTACTGCAATAGCTGTGAGAGCAGGAGCCAGACGCAGCCTCCTCACTCTCTTCGCTCTATTTTTCATTTATTTATTTATTTTTTTTGTTTAACAGCCACTCTAACAGGCACTCACTCACTGCTGTCTTGATTGTCAGTTCTCTGATGATTAGTGAGATTGACCATTTTTTCATGTACTTATCTCTTGGCCTTCTTGAATAAAACCTAATCAGGTCATTTGCTCACTTGTAAATTGTATTATTGGGGTTTTGTTTGTTTTGCTGCTGAGTTCCTTATATATTCTGGGAAATAATTGCATCTCAGAAGAGTAATCAGCAAGTATTTTCTCCCCTAGGTTGTCTCTCCACTCTGTTGATTGTTTCTATTGCTGTGCAGAAAAATTCTATTTTGATATAAACCCATTTGTCAATTTTTTCTTTTGTTGCTTATAATTTGAAGGTCATCACCAAAAATGGTTTTTCCCAGACCAATGTCCTAAAGTGTTTTCCCCTATATTTTCTTCAAGCACTTTCATAAGCTTGGGTTTTGTATTTAAGTCTTTGGTCTATTTTAGGTTGATTTCTACTGATGAGAGCTAAAAGTTTGGTTTCCGTCTTCTGCACTTGGACACCCAGTTCTCCCAGTGTCTTATGGAAGATGCCTTTCTCCAGTGAACAGTGGTTCTTTCAGGAGCTGTTTAAGAGCTTGTCCCACAGGGAGGTGGCTGGGGGGGTGGAGTCCTGCTATGTTGAAAGGGTCAGCCAGGCCCACCTCTGTGTCATCACCCACCTCTTCCCCTGGCCCTGAAGAACAGGCAGCTGTGCCCCTGGGGTCCTCCCCTGGGGACAATGGCAGATACAACACAGGGCTTTGCACTATGCAAGCACTGAAAGACTCGAGTGAAGGCACATCTAGAGGAGTCCATCAACAGATGCAAAACAAGTAGCCTGAAAGGATGCTAGAGGGCAGTGGGTTTCAAGTTGGGGTCCACGGGGTCCATGGAGACCCTAAAAAGCAAAGAAGACTGTGGCCGGTGTTGTGGTGTAGCTGATTAAGCCACCGCCTGAGACACCAGCATCCTATATGGATACTGGCTCCAAGTCCTGGCTGCTCTCCTTCCAATCCAGCTCCCTGCTAATGCTCCTGGGCAAAGCAACAGAAGACGGTTCAAGTGGGAGACCCAGATGAAGCTCCTGACTCCTGGCTGTGGGCTGACCCAGCCCTGGTCATCGCAGCCATCTGGGGAGTGAACCAACAGATGGAAGATCTCTCTCTCTCTCTCTCTCTCTCTCTCTCTCTCTCTTTTTCTCTCTGTAACTGTGCCTTTCAATTAAACAAATAAATAAACCTTTAAAAAATACAGGGCTGGAAAAGACAGAGGAGAGATTGAGAAGCCTGTACATAACCAATGACTCCTCTTTGATCTAGTCTGTCTATTGGGATTCTAGAACAATATACTGCGAATACGCATTCTGTGCCAGAATGAAGAGCTCCATGGGAGAGGTTCCCTTGCTGGGCCAGGAGGCATCTGTGCAGAGATACAGGGAGGAGGGACAGTGTGAGACATGGGCCCTGCAGCCCAGCCCCATGCCTGCCCCTGACCTAAGCATGGCCACTGCTCCGAGATGGATCATCTGCAAAGTGAGCACAACACAGGTCTCAGCAAAGAGTAAGGGAAAGGAGGGCATTAGCAACAGCTAACACATATGAAGAGACTTCAAAAATCCCATCACAGGGGCCGCACTGTGATGCAGCGGGCAAAGCCACCGCCTGTGGTGCCAGGATCCCATAGGGCGCCAGTTCTAGTCCCGGCTGCTCCACTTTGCATCCAGGTCTCTGCTGTGGCCTGAGAAAGCAGTAGAAGATGGTCCAGGTCCTTGGGCCCCTGAACCCACATGGGAGACTAGGAAGAAGCTCCTGGCTTCTGGTTTCAGATTGGCACAGCTCTAACCATTGTGGCCATCTGGGGAGTGAACCAGCGGATGGAAGATCTCTCTCTGTCTCTTCCTCTCACTGTCTGTAACTCTACCTCTCAAATAAATAAATAAAATCTTCAAAAAAAAAAAAAAAAGATAAATTGGGACCCATATTGTGGTGCCATAGGCGAAGCTACCATTTGGGACACCTGCATTCCATGTCAGATTGCCAGTTTGAATCCCAGCTGCTCTGCTTCCAATCGAACTTCCTGCTGATGCATCCTAGCAGGCAGCAAATGATGGCTCAAAGTGCTTGGGCCCCTGTTGCCTGTGTAGGGGTGGGAGAATGGGGTGCAGTTCCAGGTTCCTGTCTTCAGCCTGGCCCAGGCCTGGCTGGTGTGGGTGCAGGCATTTGGGGAATGAACCAGTGGATGGAAGATCTCTCTTTCATTCTCTCTCTCTTTCTCTCTCACTCTCTCTGCTTTTTTTTTTTTTTTTTTTTGACAGGCAGAGTGGACAGTGAGAGAGAGAGACAGAGAGAAAGGTCTTCCTTTTGCCGTTGGTTCACCCTCCAATGGCCGCCGCGGCCGGCGCGCTGCGGCCGGCGCAGCGCGCTGATCCGATGGCAGGAGCCAGGAGCCAGGTGCTTTTCCTGGTCTCCCATGGGGTGCAGGGCCCAAGCACCTGGGCCATCCTCCACTGCACTCCCTGGCCACAGCAGAGGGCTGGCCTGGAAGAGGGGCAACCGGGACAGAATCCGGCGCCCCGACCGGGACTAGAACCCGGTGTGCCGGCGCCGCTAGGCGGAGGATTAGCCTAGTGAGCCGCGGCGCCGGCCTCACTCTCTCTGCTTTAACTCGCCTTTTCCGTAAACTTCCTGAAGATTCCATCAGACTGCGTGTTTATACATCTCAGTTGAACACAACCTAAATACATCTGCCAAACTGATGAAGTGCCCTTACTGAGAAGCTTAGAAGTTATCATTTCTTCAGGAAATTCAAAAAACTAGATTGTCATAATTCTGCATCTTTATGAATGCTCATTTGCATAAATTACCATGCAGCTCCCCCAATGACCTAATTCTAAGCCTGTGAAATAAGCTAGGCTATGGCAAATGAGTTCCAGCACAGCATTCATGGTCCCTGGATGAGGGAAGGGGATTGATGGCACTAGCAAAGGAGGGACCTCTCCTAAGAAATTGTCCTGCTGTGCTTGGTGTGGCCAGAGCTGAAGGCAGAGTGACAAGTGTTCCAGATGCTGGGAACATTTGGCAGCCCCAAGGATGGGGTTCTTCACGAAGTTGGATTTTTCTGTATTGTGCTATCCTGAGGAAATACAGGCTCACCCAGAAAGGTTTGAAGCGTGACTCACAATGGCTTCATCTGCATAAAACCAAGGCGCTGGGCTTTTCTCTCCCAGGGGAAACATTCCATGACATTATTTGCTGCGATTGAGTCACTGCTGCAGATCAAAGAGAAAAGATAGCTGGTGAAGGGCCCTGGCATGTTGTGCAGGCAGAAAGGGAGGGGCCGTGATTCCCTGTGAGGGAAGTGATCGGGTCAGCAGGCGGGCAGAGGCAGCTCCACCATCCTGCAGGGAGGCTTTGTCCTTTGCTGAAGCCCGCTGAGCTCTGCTGGGACCGACCATTCCTGTTAATGGATCTGAGCTTCTCTCCCCTGCAGCTCTCCCTGGCAGACAGCACAGGATGAGAATTTCTGGATCTTTCTCCAGCCCCCACAGTCCCAGGAGGGCTATTCTGTACTCCTCCAAGGCCAATGGGCTGTGACTTTGGCCTGATGAAATTGTCTTGGCTTCCTTACTCCCCAGAACAAAAATCTGGCTCTTGTGTACATCAAATGCCACTCCCAGCACTCGTTATAGAAACGGAGTGACGTGTTTGCCAGTGCTTGTCAGAGCTGGCTCTGACTGAGAGATTGTCTTCTATCCTCTGTTGTCATGGAGCTGTGGAGGCAGGAGCCTCCTCCAGCCCCCATGGGGCATGCATAGGTGCAAGCACAAAGCTGGGGCTGTGGTTTCAGGAGACACTTTCCTCCGGCTCCTCTGATGTTCAGATGCAGGGCTCCTGGGCAGATTTCATCTCCATGGAAACCACAGGCCCAGCTGGGCTCAGACGGGTCAAGACCTCACTGATGTGCTCAACATCCCCGGGCAAGCCCAGCCCACAGAGTCATCAACCTTCTTTCTCTTTCTCTCAGCTGTCACCCTCATGTCCCTCAAACACACTCCATTGTGTTTGACTGACTTTTATAAAGGTTTTTTCCCTGAAAGCCACAGGTCCCTGATGTTCACTGAGCTCTAGTTTTTCCAAACCTTTTCTTTTTTTAAAAAAGATTTATTTATTTTACTTGAAAGTCAGAGTTACATAGAGAGAGAAGGAGAGGCAGAGACAGAGAGAGAGGTCTTCCATCCACTGGCTCACTCCCCAGTTGGCCACAACAGCTGGAGCTGCACTGATCTGAAGCTGGGAGCCAGGAGCCAGGAGCCAGGAGCTTCTTCCCGGTCTCCCACACGGGTGCAGGGGCCCAAGGACTTGGGCCATCTTCCACTGCTTTCCCAGGCCATAGCAGAGAGTTGGATAGGAAGTGGAGCAGCTGGGACTCAAACCAGTGCCCATATGGGATACCAGCACTGTAGATGGTGGCTTTACTCACTATGCCACAGCACCAGCCCCTACCTTTTCTTAAAAAGACACAAAGAACTCCAAACTCCTGTGCAGAACTGTGCTCTTTGGACAATCAAAATAGTTGGGAAATAAGTGCCTGGAGACCAGTGGTGGCAGGAGATTTCTGTCTTTGGAGAGGTGGTACAACTTATCACCACTTGAAGACTGTTCTCTCCCCATCCTCATGGTCAATAATGTAGCTTGCAAGGAGAAAAGTGGAAACAACTCTAGGACGCTCCAATGGAGATCAGACCAGGGAACATGAAGACACCAAAAATCCAAACCACATAGCCTATGTGAAGCCAGACAAGAGGAGACGTGCTTGCTGGGATTAGCGGGGAGGGACTGGTCTACGGCTGGAATGAGAAGTGCTGCATTCATCGTGGTGATCTGACAGGAGCAGA